GGTACAAGGGTGCCACACGTCAACAAAATATTCCAAGGGTCTCAGTTTTATTTAAATTGCCTCAAGCCTCCCGGCCGGGCATGGCTTAGCGGTTGAGCGTCGACCTAGGATCCAGGAGATCGTGGTTCGATTCCCGGTCAGGGCACATGCCCAGGCTGCAGGCTCAGGGGGCAGCCGATCAATGACTCTCTCATCATTGATGTTTCTATCTCTCTCTCTCCCTCTCCTTTCCTCTCTTTGAAATCAATAAAGATATATTTAAAAAAACAAAAAACTAAGGGATTAGGCTTTAAAAAATAAATAAATAAATTACCCTAAGCCTCCTGAAAAAAGTTTGAAAATCAATATTCCAATGAGATACTGTCACTAAAAAATGATTACAAGAGCAAATACATATTAAGTTCTAGTTCTGGGAACTCATTTCCAAAGAGAACTAGAATTGGGAGTATTCTGTTTATTGACATGTGGTACTAATAATATTGCTTTGACCTGTTAGAATTATGATGAGAGCGGATACTGGGCCAATGGTAGAAAAGAGGAAGGAGATTACTAAGTCTCCTTAGGCTTAGAAATTATTTTAATTTTAGTTCTCTTTAAATTTTTTTTAGTTCTGCAATGTGTTTTGCTTTTAAGTTAACAGGAACTGGCCAGAACAATATACAATAGATAATAATCTGATGAATTCTTATATTAAAAAAAAAATTGGGGGATAATGCCAGTGCAGTAGAATGTTGACTGTAGGATAACAGCTTTACGTATTATATACATTAAAACAATATATGAAACAAAGACTGTCTCATAAGCAATAAGTAAACTTAAAGTTTATGGACTTTTCTCCCTATACAACACACGCACGCGCATACACACACACACACACACACACNAAGTAAACTTAAAGTTTATGGACTTTTCTCCCTATACAACACACGCACGCGCATACACACACACACACACACAGTGTGCACACATGCACGCATATACATGTACCATTAAATTACTATCTCTATGGCACAATTTAAGTCCTGTTTGACAAAGACTGGGATTCTGGAAACTGGAATACGGGTATGTGGGAAGACGCCAAGGACTCAACGATGCCTGACGAATGTGCAAATACTTCTCTCCCACTGATTCTTTCCCACCGGGAAAACCTAATGATCCACCCCAATACGCAGCATGGTTTGTGACCAAGGTCCAAACGTGACTTGAGACAAAGGATAACAGTGAAAAACTGCAGAGGGAAGAAATCAATTACACCCAAAATGAATTGTAATAATTATCCATGTGCTATATATATATATAT